AGTAAACAAATCCAATCATACAAGTACGAGATCTTCACGAGACGAGACTGCACCCTTTGACTTGTTTCGTTTGAAGCAAACAAGTTTACTGAACCTCTCCACAATGGAGATTTTCCCTGATATGCGAATTTATTTTGCAAACTCGGTCAATGGGTCCTTGAACCTTTCGGTCCAGATTGGGAACTGCCAACGATAGTATGCCACTGACCAGTGCCTTACTTGTAACGTACCAATGTACAATGAATATGAGTATTTCGACAACACATCTGACATAAGCCTTACCATCAAGAAGCTGAACTCGCGTTCTTCGCACACTGTAGAGAAGGGCAAAGAGATAAAAATGGATCTATTAAAATCCGAATAAAATCAGGACACGTTTCCGTAAATGAAAGGGTGAGCATAAGCAAATGAATCGAAGGAAACCGGTCAACTCAGAGATCACCTGTCATCGAGTATTCCGTAAAAGGAGGCCTCGGCAGCGGAAAAGCGAAATTTAGAAAAGAGATCCTGTCAGCTTTTCCATTATTTATTGCATTCCGCCCAAAATGAGCACACTTTTCGTAAATGAAAGAGTCAACACAAGCAAAAGAATCAAAGGGAACTGGTCAACTCACCTGCCATTAATATTCCGCGAAAGGAGGTCTCAGCAGCGCCGAAACGAAATCAGCCAGGCCAGGAGACGAAATATCCGAAACAGCTCATACAAGAAGCAGTTCCAAAGGAGGAAGTTCCTCGCGCATGCACATCCGAACACGGATCCGCGGACTGCATGCACTGAACACAATGTCTGCCGTGCACGTGCACAGCACACGGCTACCACCCGTTGGTAGATCTAATACCGAGCACCTTACGTTGAGAATTACGTAGCCTAAGTGAAATACCGAGCACCTTACGTAGAAACTTACGTAGCATAGCGGTGTCGTTTTTCTTGCCATGTGAACACAATAATAGAAAAGCTGACAGGATCGCTTTTCTAAATGTAGATTCCTGCAACAAAACTCCTGAACTCAGTTTGAATATACAACATTGCGAGCAATCACCATCACATGTTTCAAGAAAAATGCCTCAAAGCAATTCAGAAATTTGCTTCGTACGGTGAAGGAGTGCTCTGTTTTTTTTGTCAAGCCTATTTTACGGGCAAAAGAAACACAATGGATGATAATGCAATACAAGTGCAAACCCAGAACACGAGGAGTGCTCTGATTTTGTTGGGGTTCCAACCCCAGTTGAGATACCTTTTTACCATAGTCAAGTGGTTTGCTTGCCTTTCTACCATAGTAATCCATTTATTGAAACAAAGAAAACTGGTGGCACCTATGTACAGGGGATGGCCCACGCCTGGTATAAAGTAAACGTAAAAGAGAATTGAGGTGCTGTACAGATTGAAACACAATATTTTTGTGGCTATTTTGGGTATGACCAACAGGTTTTAAAATGTGCTAGTGACGCATGCAAGATCAGGGTAGAGTCATTGATCCGTCAGCGTCAGACGGACACTGGATGGAATTTTGTATCCGCCACTAACCATTGTACAGTTGTTATAGGCGCGTGTCACTAAGTGTAAGGTTTGGTTGGTGTTTGTCAGGATGTTGATATGGTTACTGAGCAGGATAGAGCCCTGTCAGCACACGAGATTGAACTCGACGAGAGAATAATAATTATTGCAATGACGGACGAAAAGGACCCGTCAGGAAAGAGGAAGAGTGTACCTGGACACAAGGGAAATACGCTGGCCAAAGTTCAAGTCGTTGAGAGGTTTACGTGAATGTTATTACCGTATAGGCGTGTATGAAAATGGCAAACCAGTGTTTGTAAGACGTCAGCTTTGCCAGTCAATGCGGGCAATTTGAAATGACGACGCAATCACATTGTTATGTTGGAAACGCAGGGATGCTAAAACTGTACAATGCATACGAACGGCAAAGTAAGTTTATGTGGGTCTGTGTCGGACAGTCCTGGCGATCACGAGCGCCGATTGAATCGCTTCCGAAGACTTTGCCTGTGAGCTGGTCTTCCGTACCGGACATTGAATGGTGTATATTCACATGTGAACGCATTGCACTGTTATGTCAGCAATGGCTCATGATTTAGTTCTTACGGTTTACATAAAGAGGCTCGTCTGCATCGTGAAAGCCGCTAGACCTACCCAGGGATTGAGAGATCTCTCCGTAGCTCCTGCTCTCTTCGCGGCGAGTCTGCAATGGCGACAGAGGCGACTGGTAGTAGCTACCCAGGGGGCCTTCGCTCTCCGTCTCGTACGTTCTGGTCCCGGCTCGGCTCCGATGCACGGACCCCACGATCGGACCGGGTGCATACCTGACCGCGGAATCAAAAGCATTTGTCGAGAGGTTGCGCACTGGCGCCGGGCTCTGTGTTGTGCGTCGATCTATGCACGGATCTACAACAGTCTTGCTCCTTTCTCGTTCCATCGGTCTTGAGCCTCCCACCTCATCATACACCTGGGCACCGCCGTGCATGCCAAGACTCAGCGGCTGCTCGCCCACACCCTGGTCTGCCACTTCACTGTAACGTCGCTCGGCGCTGTAGGTCGGTTCAGCATATTTGACCTGGGTCTCCTGAACGAGGGATTCTGCAACCGGTCGTCCGTGCACACTGTATTCAGCTGGATGTTCTTTCACCGAGTTCTTTTTCCTTTCACTGCGTAACATACGATAGAGTAGCGTGATCCCTACGGAAAGCAGGACAACTACGATGGCCAGCGCCACAACGATAGGTAAAAGAACATCGCTCATCTCTGCTTTGCTTGAAGCCGTTTAGTGCTAGCACTAGCTGCGAGTGATGGTGGTGCAGTGGTGCAGTGGTGTATACAGTAAACCCACTCTTCACTGGCGTCCCAATCTGATAGGAGCATAGGAAAGCATAGAGTAGAACGCAGCGAGTCATTGATCTGCAGGTGATTGTGAGGAAACTCATGTCAGCTAGGAAAACAATCACTTGCTCTTGTTACTGGCCTGCTTCCTCCGGAAACAAACACTTCGGCAATTTCTTTATTAACATTCTTAGGAGTTACTGTGCTCCAACAATTTTGGTTCAGTGAAACAATTAAAAAGAATAATAATAATACACACAGCTCGCATCTTCTCGGAACCTGTTAGATAGCGGCAGAGTTGACGCATCTGTGTCAAGCCAAGTTAGTCTAGTCGTGCAGCTCAAAACAATTCAAAACTGAATTACGACTGTTTTGTAGAGTCAACACTTCCATTCCTGCAACTGGCACTCAGCTGCACAAACTAAATTGAGAATGCCAATATTTCGCCCATTGGGCATCATTAGGGCATTCATGAGGAGGGGAGGCGCGCTAGGCAAGCATGACATATTATTAAAACAGCCAGAGGAATGTTCTAGAATCCACACTGCACGGAATTGGCAAAGAAACCCAAACCTGAAAGGCGAGCTCACCACCCCAGTATGCCCACTTCCCCATGTCTAACCCCCCAAGACGAAGTGAATACTGTAGTAGTCATACTGGCCAAAGTTAAAAACAAACCCCCCCCCAAAAAAAAAAAACAGTCCTCACTCGAAACACTAATAGAAAGGCACTGGAAATATCTTTTTGTTTTCCTCCAACCAATGTCTAAACTTGTCACCAAGTGCAGCTCACAACTGATGTATATCTTCATTATCAAGTACCCGCTATCAGTAGTGCCATGGTTCCTTAATGCAGTGTCGATCGTCCAGGAACACCGCAGCCCCGTCTTAATGTACGCTATCCTGAACACGACCAGGCAATAAGCGAGTGGGGAACGCATCACAAGTGGAATATCAGTACCTACCTAAACGGCCGTGAGAGCTGTTTGTCCAAAGAAAAATAAGCTGCTAGCATCCCGGCATCTGCATTCGTTTGCACCAGCTCACAGACTTGATCATCCATAAACTTGGTTCTACACTTTGCGGACTACACGAGTAACCTGCGTACGCAAAGTCGCAGATGAGTCCCCTGTGTCCACTATAATGACTGCTAATGAGATTCGACTTGACGCGTCTTCTTCCCTTCTCAGAGAGAAGGCGTCTTGTGTTCCGTGCCGAAGACTACACACCTGAAATTCCCATCTTACTATGCAGCTATGCACAGGAACCAGCACGGAGCGTATGCTGCACAAGAGCAGCACCTTGTTTTCTCTGTGGACATGCTTGACCCATCTGTCGGCTCACTGCTGGCTTAGTGTCATGCAGAGCAAGCATGGCTGACCGCATGGTTAACCGCATGGATTTTTGACATTAGTCTCTGCATTACCTGGATGCGTAATATTTGAACTGTTCAGTGAACAGAAATCTGGAACAAGACTGTGCAAAGGCCAGTTGACCGCCCGTCCCCCCCCCCCCCATATTGTGACAGTTTTGTATTGGGACCTGCTAACAGTACAGTTGGAACAAAACGTGGACGGATGCTAACGATTTGAGGCACTTGAACATGTGACTACATTGTTTGGCTCGTGGCAACCAATATTATATTTGATTCCGGAATTAGAATTCTCCTTCCAGCATGTGAGGTGAAATGATCGTTCTCCAAAAGAATCATTCTTAGCGACTACCATTCTGGAATGGGACCCACCTAACAGATTTTGTTTGACCAAACAGACGGGCAAGAATGATTTCCAGTGGCTCCCAGTGATTCCTATTGTGGAATGTGACCAATCAAACGCAACCTTCTAGTAAGTCTTCCAATTTCCAGGTTCAGATTTCAGATGTCGTGCCACGACCAAAACAAAATGAATCTCAATGGATAGTGCGGCACTAGCGTCATTGGTCGTATTGTGACTGCAGGTGCAGTAGATTAGGTCTGCCTGTCATACTTAGGCACTGACTAACCTGACAAGCTACAACCCCCCCCCCCCAACCACCCGTAAAGTTTGCTCCCATACATTTTCACTAGCTGTTTGCCCCAGCTTCAAATCCGTATCGGATCGATTTTTTTCACACAATACCCACATACCATTACTAGAACGGTGCAAACGCCAACAGGAAATTTCGGGAGCGGCTGAAAGGAGCGGGCGTCACGGTATCAAAAACAGCTTATGCATGCAAGACAGAACAGACTCTAAAATGAAAACAAAAGGAACAGCAGCACTATGGAGCAGGTGAGAAGTAAAGGTGGCTTCACAGTCACGCGATTTGTACAAACGAAGGTGGCTTTCCTGCAGCAAAATGTTCGTAAGCCTGCTCATGTCGTGCTGGACAGGCATGGTAGCAAGAGTGCATAACCATTGGGTATGTACTCTTGATGCTACATCATACATTCAGATGCGAAGAATTTTTGTAAAGGAAAATCACGTGTCATACGCTTAGAAACGCAGAAAAGCTAATCATGAAACGCACGATCAGCCACTGATGCGACATGTGACAAGAGAATCAAATCCAAGGCAGAGACACATCTGATATGGATTTATATTCTTTAAAAGGGATTCTGCACGGTGATTGATCAACAGATCAGAGTGTTGGGTTTGGAAGGCAAGGTGCGGATTACACTCGAAAGTTGCGAAACATTGCAAAATGCATAATGTGCAAGAAAGGTTGCTGTAACATGCTGCAATGCACCTAACAATGATGATTTAATAGCACTTAGTCAAGTGGTGTGCTTCACCGTACGTAATATCACTTATAAATTTATACTTTGAAAACAATAGAATCTTGTGCATAATAAGAGTAGAAAGAGAACAGGAGACTTTCCTTCTTGTTCAGCATTCCCTTTGTTCGATATGGCCTAGTTAGGTCATAGCGCACTGGAAACAAATGTAAGCCTTGCTCGCATACTGTAGTGGCCTAAAAATACCAGATGGTGAAAGCCTGCATACGCGCTACATGCAATGAGTCGAAAATACCTTTAGATCTACACGAATTTCTCACAAACAGAAAATTAATTCTGATTAAGCTCAAAGAATGCTTCGACGTGCCTATCCATTTGCCGCAAAACTTCTGGAAGTCGAAATGCTGAACATTTACATTTGCTGGCATAGATATTATGTATAATGGGTATATCGAAAATACGCAAAATGCTGTGCTTCATACGATGTCCAAGGAGGGTGTTCGCGCAGGCACCCTCGCTCCGCTGGGCCATGGGACGTTGTGCAGACAAAGATGTTCACTACACCATTGCACGATTAACGTACGTGGGCTCATCCTCTTGTGCAGCTGCCTGCTGTGTAGCGCCAAAACCGCTGTCTCTATCCGCGAACGAGGGTCTCTCTTCTCTACTTGCAGCTGGCAGTGGAGGAGCGGTGGGTCCAGTGATCTCGAAATATCCACTTTGCAAGTCGGTACAAGAACGTATGGCCCCTGTGCTGCGGGCGCGATCTCGGCTGGGTGTCACGACTTGTAGTTGTGCGCCGACTGAATATCTATCCAAGGTCACAGAGCGCTGTTTAGTGGTCATCGACTTGTCGGTCATGTACGGCAAGGTGTTGCAGCTCTTGCCTGGTTCGTCGCGTGGCTTATAGTCGCAGACAGTAGGTCCTTCCGGCCCACAATCCTCATAGGCCATGCTATCCGCGTCACCAGTATCGCCGTCATCCACGATATCGTGGTTCAAGTAGAGCTCGGAGTCGTGATCGCTTTCACGGTCTTGACCCTGGCCTTGAAGCTTGCCTTGGGTGCTCTCGACAAACCTAGCGTGGTTTTGATAACCGTGCTCTTGGGCATCGCCTCGCGGTTGTCCCTGCGCCGCTGGACCCTTTGTCGAATTACTTACTCGCTCAGCGCGCAACTGCCAGTAGAGGTACGCACTGGCTGCAACAGACGCTACCAAGGCAAGAACGAAGAACACAATGACGACCACGACTCCAGATGACGCCGATGGACACGATGTTGTCTTCTCCGGGTTTACATCTAAAGGGAGGGGAGAGAGCAAATCCAAAGCCAGCTCTGCGTGAATGTACATGTATTAGGCGGTGCACATCAAGCCAACGCTTTCCTGTACAGGAAGTCAACTATTCATGGACATCACACAACTGGCACGGTATATTAATATTATTATTCACACATATCCGCCGGATGAGTACGCGTTGTCCATGCACCATGGAGACCCACGAATACCAGCATAATAATAATATTATGTTCCCTCAGCAATACAAGCAAGCAAGCAAGCGAAGTTAAGATACGGCTGCACTAGCCGTATTAACTGTCGTACCCAGATGCACACATTCAATCCCTGGCTACGCTTTGGAACTGCCTGGGCACGGTGTAGGGCTGGTGAAATTCCCACAACCACTGCACGAGGATTAAAGACACTGTAGCAGCATGACGGTGTAGCAAAGGTCACGATCATGGTATCTTTACATGAAAACCTGCAGAGCCTGTGTAGCCGCGGAATCGGTTCCCTGCGAGATTTGTTTGTCTAGACATTCTCGCCAGCCAATCTCGCGAGGAGCCGATTTCTCGAGTGCGCTTGTCAATAATCACGCGCTGACCTGAGTCAATATGGGAGTATATACTTAATTGTTTGATTGACAGCATGAAACAAGGTGGAGGACACTGTGTTCGGAAACAGTGTCCTTACTACAACCTTCCGCGGTTGGCAGAGCCCCGGTCAATCTAACAATTGCGTGAACTATAACAAGGTTTATCTAATACTGGTTTTTAACCAGTGTTAGGTTATATCGAGTATATTATACTTGTATGACGTGTACTTGTCAAGTACACTATCCGTCCTGTACTGTGTTCAAGATAAATTGTTCGCCAGCTATTCCTGTCTTTCCTCCACACTGATTGCAGGGCGGACGGATAGTTGGCTGATAGTACGAAACGTTGGGACATGCGTGTGAAAAGCCTGTGGAGTCACTACAACCTACACATGGAGCCCTTGTGGAAATGCCAGATCACATAATGATAATACATCGGGCCTTAATTGGATATCATTAAGCCCGTGCCATTATTCTTCGAGGATACCTTGGCAAACCAATGGAGTTCCTGTCCACTTGCTCGAACCACTGCAAACTAGCGTCTTGTCGCCACTGACAGGGTGTGCGGACGGTAAGCATGCGTATTCAGCCGTAAAATTCTTCTTCGTTGCATGGCAGCTTACAGTCGAGAGCAGGGAGGCTGGAGGACAGCCACAGTTTGTACCTGAGCAAGGATGGAAGCCATGCACAAGCACAGGGATGAGTTCCTTTTTGCGAGGAAAGCACACAGGCAGGTACATGTGCTGGTGAGGATGATTCTAATAATGGCGTACAGTCAACTTCGCCAATAACGACTGCGGACATAACGACAATTCGCGAATAACGACAGAATTTCCATGCCCAGAGCAAAGTCCCATCCAACTGTAATACATAAAATGAGACTTCGGGTATAAACGACACTTCGCGAATAAGGACACTTTTCTGATGCCCCGCCGAGTGTCGTTATAAGCGAAGTTGACTGTAATTGGATACTGACACAGCGCTTTGAGTTTTTGATAGCATACATGCACACATCAAAACTGCTATTGGTTTGTGCATTCACAAGCACCTTTCTTACACTCAGTTAAGAATCCTGGCGATGGTCGTGTAGACGCAAACTTTGAAATACCCTGTACCGGTAAGGACTTGCATTTGAGGATGTGTGAACTGTGGTTCTTATTTGAGTGTAAGCAAGTTGCCCATGAAAAAATTACATGTATGTAAAATGAAGCTGCGTGAGGCATCCTTCAGAATGTTGTGATGTTCAAGCAATAGCGAGGAGACTGTTGCCAACACATGTTTCCGTCAACTGCATGGCATTGCAACGGAGAGTCTGAAACCCCGCTGGCTTGCACAATTCATCAACTCTCACCGTACCATAGCTGCCCTCTGACTATGGACACAAATTTGATCGGCTGTTGCGTACATTCATGTACGTTGTGGCCTTTTGTGGAGGTGTGTTCGACCTGAGTATGTTGCTCGGCCTTGCTTGCCTTGGCCGATTTTCGCGTTTGTTCTGGTTGGCGAGTGCAAGTCTAGGTCCTACCTATCACTGCCTGTATCGATGGCTCGCAAAGATTTTACCACTTGACATAGTGAACGTTTGAGAGGGGTCAAAATTTACCATTTTCTTACGTGGTACCCTGCCACACAGCCCCGCGCTCAAGGGGTTTAATATGCATGTGCAGGCTTATATAAAATGTCACGACATTGCAATGCAGTCCTTGCACCGTGTTTACACCTAAACTCAACACTCACTCGACCCTTGATGATAAAGAAGAGAGATATGATTCTCATTGAGGGCGCTGAAGGGATGCATCACAAAAGCAGTGTCATGTTCTCGAGCAATGCTCCTGAGCGACTAAAACACACCACTGACAGGTGCATTACGTACTGAAGTCTCGCCATCTTATGTGTACCTCACTTCCAGCTAGCAATCACACTTACCTGAACAAACAACGAAGCCGCCAGCTAGTAGCAGGATGAACACTAAACGGCATATGTGATCAGCAAACATTCTGTCTACTTTTGCCGTGCACTTGAATTTTCAAGCCTTCAAACTGGTTTCACAGATACCGTGGTCACCAGTTTGGTGAGCAGCACGAACAACCCTCTACTTCCCGAGAACAGTACTCCATGCTGGAATACACTGAACGGCAAGCTATCATGCGTCAGAAGTTCGTGAAGAAGGTTGACATAGTGGGCCTTGGTTGAAACGTAGCCTCTTCAGCTCACGCGCTATCTGTAACACTACGTCCTCAGCGCAGAGAAGCAGGAACAGTAACTTGCCAGTGCATAGCAGGTCATACGCTCGTTGGGCCGACTGCTTAGGTGGCTCAAACATTTGTTACCTTCTGGAATAGTTCATTCTTCAATAGAATACGCCATTGTCCAAGTGACTGGACCCACGCGCGAATGTATGCGGGGCCGGGGTTTTATATCAGCGGCGGCATACCACAATGTTCCGGAGCAGCTTGAATATGCTCCGATAAGATCCGTTGCCATTATGATCTTGAAGGACACACACGCGTGCATTGAAAGAAGGCCATCTTTTGCTGTTGATCTATACTTACAGTAGGAATCAGTGGCCTGATGACTGCCTATGGGCATGAAACTGTTAGTTACAACGAACGATGCTTGGTGCTCTGTGCCGTGTGTAAGTTAGCTCTATTCGAATGACTAGTGAGCATTCTACCCAGCCGGAGGACTCCCATATGAAGTGGAAATCAAAACAGGCATAAGCCATAGTGGACCCACTCTGTTCACCCTGGAAATGCAGCCGTTTTGCACGCTTTGTTGGCCAGACTCGTCCTCTGCAACTCCAAGTTTCGTGGCCTTGCTCCCAAAACATGAGATAGCCTTGAAACACTGCAAACTCGTGTTATTTGGCTTCACCCTCGGTGCAAGGAGCACCTTTGCGAGTGAAGGGTAACTCAGCTTGTGAACTTGAAGGGATGTAGATAACGCAATGGTGCATTGCTTTGCTTCGTTCGTTGTCAGTGATGTGTGCGAGTGTGTGCGTGTGTGCGTGTTTGTTCGTTTGTAGGTAATGCTATAGTATTCTATGCAGTACATGTAGTCCTTTACACACCTGTATGCATGAAATGAACATAATTATTACTTTTGTTTGGGAGGCGCAAGCGTGAACCTCTGAGCTGCAAAATGATGCGACTCCACCTGACTTGTACATGAACGGTTTGTACTGCGGCTTTGGGCTGAAGATAATCACCATGCTGTAATATTTCATTTCGCGTGCGTATGTTTGTGTATGTGTGTGCGTTTGTGTGTGTGTGTGTGTGTGCTCGTTTGTGTGTGGGGGATGTGTGTGTGGGCGCGTGTGTGTGTGGGCGCGTGTGTGTTTGTGTGTGTGTGTGTGTGTACGTGTGTGTGCGCGTGTTCGTGTGTGTGGAAATACCGTTACATTGGTTTGTATGCCTTGACGTGTTAGGGTGTACTAAAGTATATCTGTGTGAATGTGGTTTGCCATGAATACCGAACTATTGGCATCCGAAATATCACGGAACAGGCAGGTATCACGCACGCAAAACACGATTACGTTTGTTTGGGTTGGGGTCCAGGACAATTACAGTGTGACTGTTAAAAAATTAATGATTGTGCACATCATAGAAATATTGAGGAGAGTGATTGATATACGCACTGGGAAATATTGATGAAGTTTAACAGGAAAACTCCGTTGAAACAACACAAATTACACTCATAAGCCAAGCGTACGAAAACATAAGCAACTGAAAAACTGAGATATGCCAATGATGATTCTACAAATGAAATATGCTTACATGTACTGAGTTCAAAGGGCTAAAGTAACTGATGGTGACATCATGTCCCTAACCATAAAAGTATAGAACGGCAACAAAACGGGAGGAACGCAAATGAGATCACTGGAAACCAAAAGGTAGAGATTGAAGAAAACGAGATTTTCATGGTAGCCTACATGTGCATTCGACATTAACGGACTAGCTGAAGGGAGAATTGTATTCATGTGTTGACCATTATTGTTTGCCTTTGCCGCCATGAATGCCAGGGACAAAGCGTGACGGTGACCGATTTTTTTCTTTCTACAAAATCCACATATCTCCAGACACTGGGGTGAATGATGGAGTGTATTCATATGTTGGAAATGGCGACGCAGACATACAACAATGCTCACATTGCAAGTACAGTAACAAACAAGCATGCTCTGCTATTCGATGGGGACAAGATGTGTTGGCAATCGGTGAGCACGTGTAGTTGGGTGATGTGTGGCGAGATGCATTTCAATGGGCTCACGGTGCTCATTAGTTTCAGTGATTGACGTACATGGGTTCTTTTACGTTCGTGGTGCTCTTCTGGGACGTAACGCTCTTCGTAACGCAGGGGTGCTGGAGAGGTTGGCCACTGGAAGTGGTTGTAGCCTGCAAGTCCGGGCCAGCGACGTCCTCTGTGCTCTTTCCAAAGGAGGAAACAGCCCTGGCTTGTGCTCTGGGAGCGGCATACCCAGCTGGAGATGCAGTGCTCTGGCGATCTGTGAGGAATGTCTCACAGCTTGCTAACGGCTCGGCGCTTACGTTGGGAACGTATTCTTCGACGTCAGGAGCCGCTACATCGACATACGACAGACCATCATCACCCGCGTAGTTGCTGTCTTCAATGTCATGGTTCAGGTAGAGATCATCCTCCTGTACCTTGTCTTGTCCAGGCGGCTGCTGATAGTGAACGTCTCCCTCCAAACCCTTGCCCTGCTGCTCAGGGAACTCAGTGAAGGCGAGAGTCTTTACCGACTTTCTTTCCCTTCCATGTCGCAACCTTCTGCAGAGAATCATGGTAAGTGTTGTGAACATGATGACGAGTAACAACAGCGCTCCGACCACAGCCAGGAACACGGTGGACAATACTGGACAAACAGTGGTCATCTCAGGGCTTGAGCCTAGCAAATCGAATACAGATGATTGAACAAAGACACAGTCCATATTATTATTTCTTGTTATTGGGCAACATGCCCGTTAAAACCTGCGAAGTAAAATAAACAACAACAACAACAACAACTCAAAGTTTCCCGGGGCTTTCTCGGGGCTTGAGCCTAGCAAAGCGAATACAGGTGATTGAACAGAGACACAGCCAATATAATATTGGCTGTGTCTCTGTTCAATCACAATATTGGCAATATTGTATACATACTTCACATCACTTAACGTTTCCTGAGCTTAACTCACCACAAATAACCAGTTAACTAGTCTTACATTTACTCTCAATGTCCACAAGAAAGCAGTATCAAGGAGGACGTTAGTGTACACATTTGTGATTACAAGTACATGTACCGTAGTGCAGCAATACAAATCATTGGGAATTCAATTTCATTTTGCAGGAACACAAACCCAAATGGGTGAATCAGAACAAGAGTGAGCGACATGCATGTGCATGAGTCAGGACATACCAGACCCGCCGCTTTGATCCCGTGGGATGAAAATCAAGATCATAATAAAATATCTCGGAGATCAGAGTTGATCATTCAAGTGCTCTATATTCTTTTGAAATTTGGCTGGTGGCTGCGAAAGGTCATGTGCACATCATCCATGCCAGCTTGGATTTTGCACAACAATAGTGTCTCCCTATAATACTAGTACACAAAAAAGGCTAACTTTAAGATCAGCCTCCTCAAATGTGCATGTTATTAATATAATCCGAACGCTGACTAGTAGTATTATCCTATTCGCGATTTGAGCAAATTTTTATCAAACGGAAAACAGGCTTAACCATACGTATGTGTGTGTGTGTGTGTGTGTGTGTGTGTGTATGTGTGTGTGTGTGTGTGGGTGTGTGGGTGTGTAGAATCGGAATCCCAGAGCGCGCAATGACTAACAGAGGTAGTATTTCCAAACATGAAACCCGTATAGGCTTACCAAAAGCAGAGGGAAGAACCACAACACTGCGAGACTCCTTGCTGCGCAGACCAGTGTCGGTGATGACGTATGCACTTAGCTGAAAGACTTCACCAATGGTGGGTCGCCGAATCACCATCGTATTACTATCTTCACAGGTTTCGCTCACAGCGTTGCTGCCAGACGTCAGCTTGGTTACCATGTAACAGTACAGCTGAATGACGTGCGATTCGAGGGGATGGGAGATGAAGAGTGTAACATCTTCACCCGAAGTATTGACAGAGATTGTTGGGGGAATAGCTGGGCAAGGGTAAAAGAAAGAATGCAGTGTTATGCAGAAGGGAATGGTGGAATGGTCGAACATCGCTTCTGAAGAGCAAAGGGTGTCATATGATATCCTTTACGGCAGTGGCAATACATTTCTATTTCTGCTCATGATATGAACTTCTTGATGGACCTGGCATGAGGGCGGCATGCGTTTAGTATACTTTTGAGATGAAGAGATGTGATCTTTTGGTGATTATGTGATCAATTCACACCCATCAGAAGTTGCATCATAGCAATAAATAACCTCCTAATTTAATGTGCTTGAGTTTGTGTAGGTTAGTTTTCCTGGTGTGAATTTAGAAAGCATCAGTGAACATTGAACACCTTAGCACTGCGTAACCTTTAACGACCAGGGCAGTAGTCATCTGAATACACAGCACCACATTCAGGATGCTCAAATAAATTTTTTGACTTGCAATGAATTTAAGAGGAAAGCAATCGTGATGTGCGTTGTGCAGTCGCCATGTCATTATTATGTTTGGTTCATACTTAGGCTTTTACCGAAGGATGTACCCAGAGTGCTGACAGTGCTCAACACCACAAAGGCAGTGCGTAATACACAACAGAACAACAAGGACAATCAAGGCTTGTTTGCTGCTACTTTAAGTTTCATGCTTACGCAATCATCAGGCAACATGAAGATCGGGTGCCGACCATGCCGGTATATATGCCAGGAGAGGGTGGTATAAAAAGCTGTGTGAGACTGTGGGGGCTAGCGCAGTAGCGGTGGTGTTTTAGGCAGGGGCTGTGTGCAGAGTGTGTGGTTGGGCACACCAGCCACACACTCCGCGCTAACACTGCACTGCTAGCCCCTGCCTTCAACAACCACACAGTAGCAGAACCCGAACCCGTGATCTTTTCAACAAGCCCGCGAAGCTTTAAAGTCGAAGCCATGGTGAAGAGAGCAAGTCATCATCAAAAGAAAGAGTTGCAACATTGTTTCACGCTTCTTATGAATATTTACAAGCCGGTGGGACGCAGCCCACACTTCACCCGCACATAGCGCAAAAACTAGCCTTCAAAACTTGTTTAGAGGAACTAACACAGATTGAAATGAATTGAGGATAGGGGTGAACATAGGCAATGAAGGGGACCTCACCCAGACAAGAGCACGTCTTCACAATTAGACACAAAGCGATCAGCGCGTATCCTCCGCTTACTCCTGCCATATCGTCAGAGAACCACCAAGACAATTCCTTTCCTTTTTTCTCTTTCTTTGCGCCCTCAAGGCCAAGTACCGCGCCTCTACAGCCACTTCACGAGTCAATGCAAAACACGTTCAACACTGAAAACCCACTATTCGGTAACCCACAGTGCTCGATGCGGTGACCGACAGAGTCGTGTTGTACGTGACTCATTTCATGTAAACATTACCTTCCATCTGGCATGAAGAAGTAGACATTCGTGAGTCTAGGGTTAGCTGACTTCCTTCGTATGTTCCAAAAGCCTGCTAATTTTTTTATCAATAGAGAGGGCTATTGAATCGGGTCATTGACCTCCTATTTTCGTGTATTGGTATCCAGAATCCACTTCTGAGTTCTGTGGCGACACCTCGTGAGCCACAGCAAGCCATTTCTCTAAGACTACCAAACCTGATCCGGGATGATTCATAATAGATTATGATTTTTTGAACACGTCAGGTATTGAGACGGATGTGTTTGGTATAGTAACTGAATGATTATGGAAGAATATGCACACGTGATCGAGAAGCAGAGTGCTGTATACTTCCATTGCTTCCACTTGGTAAATTGTTCACAGTTTATCCCAACTAACAAAATCAATGTATTTGAGGAGGATGCAATCAATCGCCCCCTTTGTTGGTCTAAATACAGTGAAACCTCGTTAAGAAGAACACTGATAAGACAAACTTTCGCTTAAGAAGAACTAGAATCCCAAGTGCTATTGGATTCATCACTGTGTATTAACTGGGTAAGACATATGGATAAGAAGAACTCCCGTTATTGCGAACAAATCCTGTCGGTCCCTTGGTGTTCGACCTAAAGAGGTTCGACTGTAGTGCAATTGATTCTCCTTTAAACGACATGTATATTTTGGCTAGATGTGACAATGGCCTGAGTTCGGCGCTTACCATGGCAAAGTGTTTCGGTTGAGATAAATGGAAATGGGCAACCATCTCCCACTCCAATTGCCAATCATTTTCAAGTCAAAAGCTCGAGTCTGAGGAGTTGGACGCGATGGCTATGTTTCCGTGGAAGCCTAGCTGGTAACGTCGCTACATGGATGATTGTCTGGTAGTATGGTGTCAATGTCTTGTCATGTTGATGAAGTTCGTGCAGCATTTGAGCAGCAGACACCCTGACATAGGTTTCACAGTGGAACAAACCCAGCAGAATGCCTCGTACATAATAAGCTACACCTAGACTTGTCTAGCTCTGCCAAGCGCCATGCAAGCACACCAAGACCATCATCGGAGATACAAACCCGATCAGATAGTTATTCTGAACACTGTGCTACGAAAGCGCTTTCGTTCTCGGAACATTGCATTTAATTTCTTACACTACATTCTTGCGTGTCTACACATAGGAAAGACTTGCAGCTACCTGTAAATTGGTCCTCATTGCGGCTGTACTGAAGCTGCTGTCTCCAGAACACTTTTTCAATTCTATTATGTATTTTATTTTAAAATGAGGTGTGCAGCGAGGAGACCGCATTTTCAACGATCGAGCTAGTTGTGTAAGTGGCTGCAATGGAAGCTGCGAGCGTACAGAAAAGATTCAGATAAGCATTCAACAATGTTTTTCTATGTCACGTTCCACGGAAATTCCGAGGCTACTCGCTACCAATAATGTATTTTGTTTCTTCCGCTTTCCTTGACTACACGATGAGCTTCAAGTATGAGTTTCAATTTATTTGATCCGAAGATAGACACCGTACGCGCTAACATCTTCTCTCGTTAAAGCTATCACCCACAAAACCACGGGGCCAGGGCTATTTTTCTGCGCCGAATAAATAACTACCTATTATCACCAAAGTATAATTTATAAACCTTTTATCCTGGGCAAGTTTCACGGAACATGTCACACGTTGTTTGATAATTACACTGAGCAAAAAACGCGGAACTGCAGCAAACCTTAAAAAAACCTTATTTGTGCCTTTCTGTCCTTGAGCCTTAATTTAATATCGCTTTACTGGGTCCCTGAAGGGATACTGCTGACTCAAGCGTCATCGCGCACATCCAAGTAATAAACATCTGTTATCAGCTGGTAAATCCTGCGAATCAAACCATTGCTTCCCCCGTTTTGATAGAAATGGATCAATACAGACTTCCTCATTTCCTACAGCAGCTTGAACTTGATGTCGCGTTCTACATCTTCAACTATTATTGTTCCATTTTTTTTAACTACAACCTCGGCCAGGATGAATACCCTTAGGAGTATCATATCCCCCCCCCATGGGGGCTTATACACTCTTGCTACTACCAAGAGTACACAACCAGGTTATGTACAGACTGGTTATGTACCGATTATGTGCTCTTGCTACCACAGTTGTCACATCCTCTAGCGGGTTAGACATGGGGTAGTTGCCGCACTGGGGTGTGAGCCCGTCTCATGTTTCTACATTTCCGGCGTTACATAGAAGCAATGCTGATGATGCAAGGTCCTCACCGTGTAGATGCACCCTAAAATAGAGTGCCTCTTTCGTCCGTCTTGGGGCTTGGAAAATAATGCCGTTTCCTGTGAGACCCGGCTGGAAGCCGAGTTGTCCGCATCCGCGGGAACGCCACCACCTCGACGATCAAAGCGCAGATGCAGCTCCTACGCGGTGGGAGGTGTGTGGCATGAAAATGGTGGAACATGAATACACTCGTCGACCTTATCATGGTAGTTTTTAATACGGCTGTTCGGTTAAGGGTAAGTAGCTGCAGTGGGTACTGCGTTACCTGAAAACACCAGCTACGTTCATGTGAGTGTGGACACGGATATTCTCGGGGCCTTAATATTTTATGAGTGTGACTCAGCGAATGTAGAAAGATGTAAGAGATCTGAGAAGGTGTGAAAAAATATTAATTTTACAAAACTTAGCAGTGACGAAAAACAGGTAATATCCGGAAAGGGGAATTTTAAAGCAGGATCAGCATGAATGATATCATTATTCTGTTGAACACATATCCTAGAAACAGTGTTAAAAATTACATAACATAGAGATTCTGAAAACTACAATGAGGTGTGGGTGATACGTGACAAAATTCAGCAATGTACTAGCGGAATATTGGTTTGGAAATCCATCAGGGTGCAGAGAGTGTCGGTAATCAAAGACAGTCTTCCAACAGATGCCAACACGGAATAAGATTTATACTGAGAGTGCTTTGTGCAACAGATGAAGTAGACAAGCTCCAAAGGTACATCTTTGTGAGAGATTTAAAAATAGTTCAAAAAATGGTTGTGATATGAAACTTGTGATGTTTGCAGCACGCGGGGAAATACAGAACAGGTAAAGCAAAGAATGTTTCGCAGAGTGTGTCGTGCATTCCGAGAAGACTGCGGCTTGTCCAGTTGGCGTTGGGTGCAATCGGACGAACAGCCGCACGCCTAGTTCTTCAGTTCGCGTGATTCATGTAGATGGGCTGATCATCTTGTGCCGCATCACCAGCCACCGTACGTTGGTCGCCCGTTCCCTCTTGAGATGCACCATGAAGGCCGCCCGATCCATCTGGGGGTAGAGGTGGCGTAACGCTACCAGCTGTCTGCATGGAGCTGAACACATCACGTGAAGTGCTCGCCCGATGATGAGAGGCATTCTGGGTCTGTGCTCTCGGGGGCGCACTGTATCTGGAGAAAGTCTCAGTCTTTTCCTGGGCGGTCATCTCCTTGCCAGAATCACATGGTTGAATGACATTCATGTAGCTAGATGGCGGTTGTTGAGCATCGTGCGTGCTGAGGCCTGTAGCGATTTCTGCAGGATCAAAGTTGTCGTAGGTCACACTCTCACCATCCGCCTCCACGTCCACGTCCGCAACATCGCAGTTTATGTACATGTCAGATTCGTGGTCCTCTTCCCCTTGTTGATCATAGCTGTTGGACACACACATGCCCTGGCCGTGGTCATCTTGCATCTCCCGCTCTCCATGCTGTTGTGGCTGAAACAAGGCAGGTGCTCTAATCAGTTCGAGATCTTTCGCAGTTGTCGTGGCATCTCTAGCACGAACCTTGCAGCAGAGCAGTGCCATCACCCCAGTGGATACTAGGACCATCACGATCAGAAATCCGCCTGCAGCGATAACTCCAGTTGAAGCAGCCGGGCATGAGCTCGGCTCTTTTGGACCTGGGTTTAGAAGGAAGAAAACAAGATGAAATTCAATTTGAAATAAGTGCGCTGATTTGTCAAGGGCTAGGATGATAATCTTTTCAAACTTCAGTCTCTTGCTTTCACAGCATCTTTGCATCAATCGTTTTACATACAAGTCCCTTTCCCCATCGTGAATGTGTTTTTCCTTTTCCTTTTTCCCTCTTTCCTCCGTGGTTGGTCTCACCACCTCCACAATCCACACTCTACAAGGTGCAGAAATAAATAGATAAGTAAGTCGCAGAGCACCACGCATCATCAGGTTGTAACTGATACCTTCTTGCCCATAGGACATCATTAGAAAACTGATCATGGATAAACAGCCAAAAACCCGATTATATACGGTAATGTCAAAGAAACACCGATGCGTGTAAACAAGAGCGAGGAGTTTCATACGTGGATTTAGCAACATTCATTTTATAAGACAATTATTTGATTCATCAGGAACGCTGGCCGCTATCGTCTAGGATGCAACGGTGGCTAAGCGGCATTGTCTAAGGACCTCCGCCAGGGCGAGACGACTTTGGGAATACTGAAAGAATAAAACAATCACTCCTATTCATTTCTGGGTGTGTTTTCTGGGGATTTTCACAGTCAATCTACACAAGCCATACCTATTGGGATGGGCAGAACAATGACGCTGGGAGAGAATTTGCTGGTTAGATTCTCATCAGTGATCACGTATGCTCTCAGCTGGATGACGTCAGAGCTTGCCGATCGCTCCATCACTACATCAGGCCCTTCATAGCAACTTTCGTTGGACATTTCCCCTTCTTTGTGCAGTGAGCTCACCATAATACAGTAGTACTGAATCAGTTGAGGCGAGATGGTGTGGTCAATCGAGAGCGAGATGTTTTCGTCTGTGGCATTGAGAGTGATGTTCGGTGGAAGAGCTGAATGGGTGAGCATAACACAGCAAGACGAATTAAAGGATGTTCAATTCGGCAACCCTAGCACGTATCAAATATCTGGATGAGTTGAAGTATCATCTCCCGTGAAGCAAAAATAAAACAATCGCGGACCATTATTATGAGTGACGGGTAAGGCGCAAAGCACGAATAAACAATTGACTGTGCATCCTGGACTCCACACTAGGGAACATTGTTCGAACTGCTATTAAAGCCCTCACTCCACCCACAGACTTCCTGCACAGGCAATCACGCAGGGAATGGTTCACGGATATAATTGGATTGCATGAAAGCAGGATGAAAGCATACCCTATATGGCTTGCAGGCCGAACACAACAATGCTTATCAATGAGTGAACCACTCTGTGTTTACTTCTGTTTCTTCCACAAGCCGTTGGCCTTCTTACAATAATGAAGGAAGTTGCGTGAAACACGGTTCCCAACTGGTGGGTTTTAAGCCGGGAATTTGATGTTCTGCCGCAAGACACCTGAGCCATCTCTCCGCCAAAGTTCATATTAGGATGAAATACAAAATACCAATGGACTTCACCTTATATATACCCTAGTTGCTAAGAGATTATCAGTTAAGTCATGCTAGAACACTCATAGTGCATACATACGTTGACATTTCCCCTTGATGCTGGTCCATTCGGCAGAGTAGGCCGAGAGCTTCGTACAGGTTAAAATTGGATCTTCTCCATCGAAAAAGAATCCTTCATTGCATTGGATGGCCGAAAGGGAGGCTATGTTTAGTTTTCCAGTTTTCGCATAACCATTGGAGATCTCATTGGGCTGATTGCATTGCAAATCTACGTTATAAAATGAACAGCCGACAACAATAACAAATATGTTCGGAGAACTTCGGACAGACATCTTATTATGCCCAGGAGCTTGCGGGGCTGAGAAACTAACAATGATATTTTGAATATCAAGGGGCGATCTTTTTCTTATGAATAATTTGTAATACGTCTACTGTATCTAGATTATGCGTACTCGTATACCATGCTAGCCTGCCCATTCGTACACAGGAATGCCCCCCCCCCCGATATGGCTACCTGGGACTACCATAAATTCAACAATAAATTTAAAAGTGTTCATGGAATCGCTGCTCAGGCGTGTCCATTCTCCCATCCTAGCACTGAAGCGCAGATGCACTCCTGTTTCTGGCGTTCACATTGGACGCTTTCAATCGGCGTCCTCTAGGTTCTTGTCTCTCCGAGTCCATACGCCCTGTCCTGTGGCTCCCCACCGGATTTGAACCAGGTTTTTGACGCAGTAATCCAAATCTGGAGACCCGCCAGTGTCCTCTAGTATTGGGCCGCGGATGCTGGCTTCAGCGGTGAGAGGTGAGTAGATTAGACCCCACACCCTCAAAGACCGATAATCCCCCCTCTCTGCACCATAAATTCTTCCGCTAGGTAACAGGTTCCCAACTAACTGTGGGTTGCACCATGCCTGAAAAGCGTCTTTCCGCGTCAAAGCAAGATTTTTGTCAGCCAACCTCTGTTCCTCAGTCATGGTCTTAGACCACCCCACTATGCTTGCCTGTCGCCATTGATTCTAGCTAATTCAACTTTTCTATGACCTATCAGTTATTAAACAAGTTCGAGCCAATAACATTATTTTGTTAGAGAAAAGAAAGGAACATGTGGTGACAAAAAAGTTAGTCTTTTCTTTGCTTTTCTGAGAAGAACAAACAAGAGACGATTAATACTACTCTGTTACTAGAGTAGTTTTATTCGTTTCCTTCCCATCCCAGATGGGATCGATGACGGAGCAGGCAACGGAACTAATTCCTCATTCCCTACCTTTACTGTGGCAACCACGTCTAACAGCCGCCTAGCCAGTTTAGTTTCGGAAGTCATCTGAGGCCAGACAATGGCTGGTTTTGCCAGACCGTGACCAGGGTATTATGAGTTGACCCATGTTTCGTATCGTCAGACGTGCATCGTTAACGCAAGGCTATTGTCATTTGCGTATAGCTGAATACTACAAGTGCATACCTTCACAGATGAGGGGAGTTCCTTGCCATTGTCTCTGTGTATTGCAAACTAGATGTCTGTCACCTCTCAAGCGCGTTGTGTCAGGCTGGCACATGTAAGTGGCAGTGGCGTTGAGGACTGTTGTTGTGTAGCTTACATCAGACTTGGTGCCGCTGGGGGGACACCCACAGTCGATAGCTGAGCACACAAATGTTACAGATTGCAATAACTGCAGTAGGATGTGAAATACTACACAGGACACATGAACCCATGTTTCGTATCGTCAGACGTGCATCGTTAAAGCAATGCTATTGTCATATGCGTATAGCTGAATACTACAAGTGCATACCTTCACAGATGAGGGGAGTTCCTTGCCATTGTCTCTGTGTATTGCAAACTAGATGTCTGTCACCTCTCAAGCGCGTTGTGTCAGGCTGGCACATGTAAGTGGCAGTGGCGTTGAGAACTGTTGTTGTGTAGCTTACATCAGACTTGGTGCCGCTGGGGGGACACCCACAGTCGATAGCTGAGCACACAAATGTTACAGATTGCAATAACTGCATTAGGATGTGAAATACTACACAGGACACATGAAGGCAAGAAACATATTATAACGTTTATTATTATTATTTTGCTTGTTCGCGTTGGCATCAACCTGCATAAAGCAGGTATATAGCCTTCGCTCAACCTGCCATAAAAAAAGAAAGCTCATCCTAAGCGAGAGGGCTAGAGGAGAAGATAACGATAACGAGATACAGAATACAAAGAAATCCAATGATTTAAACATACAATTCAAAATAAGAAAGAAAGAAAAGAAAAACAGAGCCGAAGCTACTAATCGGAGTTGCGAATGCGTTGGTACCGATTGATCCATCAATCGACAAAGGGGACTAATCCGTTTTATAATATTATTGCAAAGTAGAAACTGATTGTAGTTGCAGATCTCCAGGCCAGGGCCAGCATATTGCCGATTCTGGATAGGTCTCTGCAGCATTTGATGTTGTAATTATCGTAATTGTTGATAAAATTATAAAATTGTTAGAGTATCTAGAGTATCTACATTCTTGTACGCGATCTTTTTGAAGTTGGCCTCCACGGCACTGCACTCCATTGGTTTGCAGACTACCTCGAAGGACGCACCCAACAAGTGCAAATCGCTGGACCCATTGGTGTCAGTGGCACATGCTCATGTGACGTCCCGCAGGGTTCCGTTCTCGAGCTGTGCTTTTCAACATCTACACCAGGCATGTGCCCACCATTGCCGGTCCGTCCCTCTCAGTGCAGTTTGCTGACGATATTGCTCTCACGTTCAGCCACCCTGATTGCCATGAAGTATCGCGAGTTCTCACAACGTCTACAACTGAGATTGCTAACCACCTCCATGAACGGAATCTAATCCTGAACACTAGCAAAATCCATGTCCTTCGAATTTCCGGCCAAGACGTTACTGTCAAATGCCGTGGAAACCCGCTACCAGCAGTTCCCCATGCGAAGAACCTGGGCCTCACGATAGACGAGCACGTTCGATCTGACGAACACGTTAACAATGCTGTGAAGAAGACCTCGCAGAAGGTGGGAGCGCTCTGGAGAGCCCGCCGTTGCCTTACGAGAAATTCCAGAGAGCAGTACGTGAAATCCGTTGTGATGCCAGATTTGCTCTACGGGTCCGTGGCGTTCTCTGGGTGCCTTCGACAAGACGAGCGGCCCCGCCTTCAGGTCCAGCAAAACCGTGCGGCACGCGCTGTATTCGGCCTGCCACCTCGCACAAGCGCCCAACCTCTGCTTGCTCGGCTGCAGCTGTATGGCATCGAAGAGCTCCACAAGCAAAATACCCTTATTATGATCTAGGGTTGCTCGAATGGTCGGGCAAGCAATGCACTGCAAGCAAGAAGAATGCCCACGCTGCTTTGGCAGTGGCGGAGGCTCGCTTGCCGACGTAACCGTCGGAGATCATCATGAACAATGGACTGACTAATTATTCACTTGTCCTGTCTTTATAAATAACATGTTATTGCATATGTTCTTGGTTTAGTTTTTGGCCTTTTTCGTGCTTTGGAGTTGATAACATTTTCCTCACTATCGAAACTATACGTCATACACATGGAAAAAAAAAATGCAAGCCCTGCTGGAGCGTCCCAGTACTCGAACAACTTGCGCGCAACGCAGCTTAGGCCTTCGAGTGCCCAAATCTGCCTCCAAAGCCGGCCACGACCGTCCAACCGCTCGCGGGTCCATTTTATGGAACACCCTGCCATCCGACGTGCGTGGTATTACCCAGTACCACCAGTTCAAACAAGCCTGCCTCCCGTTCGGTCTTGCTATAGCAGTTGCACACACTACTGAACACTACAGGAACCTTTGAATGTTTGCGGTACTCCACAGTACCCGTCATGTGCTGTTTATCGCCTCCCCGGTGTTGTATTCTAACGTTCACGTTATTCATTGACTGAGCGTTCTTTGCTTTGTACTACACCCTACTATCATGACTGGTAGGCTATTTACTACAATATTTCACTGTTTCAATTCGCTTCCATGTAATTGGGCGACACCGCCCGTTTGGTTCTGCGAATTCAAATAGAAATGTACCTACCTATCTAGCATCTAGAGTATCTAGTGTCTAGAGTATCTAGTGTAATTGTATCCGTTATTGAGAATCTAATGTTTAGACAGATGAATTGCACACCCATATCAGGGCGTAGCAAGGTATTTTAGTGTGGTACGGTCAACCATCTGAAGTACAGTTTAAAACAGAGAGGATCCAGGCTGTCCAAGAGAGTGCTCAATACCGAGTGGTAGAGCAGGTTCAAACAATAGGAGGACTTCTTCGAAAGTGGGAGTAGGATTGGCTTTTCGAGCTCTGTAGTTTTCTGTGGATTTTCAGGCCTCAGCGCGTCTCTCCTGCAAGCCCACTGATGCAGAGTGCCACTTGTTGCCGGTGCAACGGCAATGGCACCTGCGTTCGGTGTGAATGCAAGAAGGAGGGCCGCGAGTGTCAGAATTGTCTCCCGGGAAAAAAAAGCAGATGCCGAAACAACAGCCCCTCAACATCGAAACCGTCACCCGTACCCGTAGCGGTGACAGATACAAGTACCGACAACCAACCGTCATCCTCAGAAGCCACCCCGGAAGAGCTGGTAGCTGCTGCACTCACTGAAGCCCTGCTCACGGAATGCCGAAACCCGACATCCACAGGACCACCAACGGCACCATGCTCACAACCTGGTCAGGTAGCTGCCACCACCTCCAGTGACGTCAATAGGGTTGACCTGCATGCCATGCCTGTGTCGAGCTCTCAACAACTAGCATGGGACATACTGGACCAGCAGCATGCAGCAAGCATCAGTGCCGCAGATCGAGTTGACAGTAATGACGACACCCTAGGGCATGATGCAGAGTTGCTGGCCAACCTAGCACAAAGCCAATCTGTTACTGAGGAGCCCCAAGCACCGGATCCAGCCCAGCTCCCCCCATATCTGGAAGCAAATTGCAACATCACAGTTGGGACCCACGATTCAAACTCGTCTGCACAAATTGTAGATGCTGCATATGAAGAAGTGGTGCATTTTAGGCCTAACCTACTTTTCCTCCCTTCCGGGTCAGTCGGATCAAAGTTTGCAACTCCTTGCAACACTCTACAAACAGTTTGGTGACAAATGTGCAGGTGAAGGCAAGTCTCTGAAAGCAGCTGCAGTGGCCACTCAGCTGCTCCTGCAATGTCCGCACCGCTCTGCAACCAGACAGGAGAACATCACCTGTCTACAGCGCCGCATGCTACTCTGGGAGGAAGGCAACATCAACGAACTGATGATAGAAGCCCGGACTATCCAATCTCTAGTGCAATCTTCCACAGCCTTCCAAGGCAAGGCTCAGCCGCAGGACCAAGCTCGTACCTTTGCCAACCTCATCACCACAGGCAAAACCAGTGCTGCAATCCGCACGTTGTCTGAAGACCAGAAGGGCGGAGTACACTCCGTGGGCACCACCATCAATGGCCAGACAGTTCTGGACATTCTCAAGAGCAAACACCCTCCCGCGGCACCAGCAAATGCGATGGCGATGATTACAGGAGATGTCCCTCCGTCACCGCATCCAGTTCTCTACTCCAGCATCACCCGGGAGGCCATACGCGAGGCAGCCCTCCACACACACGGTGCTGCAGGACCCTCTGGACTAGACGCTGCGTCGTGGCGCAGAATGTGCACAGCTTTTCACGGAGCATCTGATGACCTCTGCGATTCACTGGCCAGCTGTGCCCGCCGCATCGCCTCGTCCTATGTTGACCCCACAGCATTGGAAGCTTTCTTGGCCAGCCGCCTCATACCACTAGATAAACAACCGGGTGTCAGACCGATTGGGATCGGAGAAGTGGCCCGTCGCATCATCGGGAAAGCCATCCTGCGATGCGCCTCATCTTCAATACAAAAGTCAGCTGGCTGCCTACAGCTATGTGCGGGTCAAGAGTGTGGCATAGAAGCAGCAATACATGCTATGCAAACAGCATTTCAGGAAGACGAGGCGGAAGGCGTTCTGTTTGCAGATGCGTCAAACGCATTTAACTCCCTTAACCGTGCTGTCTCACTGCACAATATCCAGCACACCTGCCCCACCATTGCTCCGGCACTGATCAACAGCTACCGCAGCCCGACTCGGCTGTTTGTGGATGGTGAATGTCTCCTGTCTTGTGAAGGCACCACGCAGGGAGATCCACTAGCCATGGCTATGTATGCCCTGGCAACCGTTCCTCTCATCCAGGAAGTGTCTCAGAGTGGAGCACTCCAGTCGTGGTATGCAGACGACTCCACTGCCGCTTCCACCATTCGAAAGCTGCATCACTGGTGGTTACTGCTTAAGCAACGAGGCCCAGCATATAGGTACTTCCCCAATGATGCCAAGTCGGCTCTTGTTGTGAAGCCGGAGCATCTTCAGGAAGCAGAATCCCTGTTTGCTGACACGGCAGTCCAGATTCGCACGGATGGCTGGCGGCATCTCGGTGCGGTACTTGGGTCTCCCGAATTCTGCAAGCAATATGTCACAGAGAAGGTAGAGACATGGGCGCTAGAGGTTGGACGACTGGCTGACTTCGCCAGCACTCAGCCACAAGCGGCATACGCTGCTTTTATTCATGGCCTCCGCCACAAGTGGTCGTTTGTGGCCCGGACGGTCCCAGGCATCAGCGGACTGCTAGACCCGCTGGAGCACTCCATCCGACAGCGGTTCATCCCTGCTCTAACCAGTCGCCCCGCACCTGGTGACGAAGAGCGCGCCATACTGTCCCTCCCGTGTCGAGTAGGTGGTCTTGGTCTCATTGACCCGAGGTCTTTGACGGACCAATACAATATGTCTGTCGCTGTCACCAACATCCTCGTGAGCCGGATACTGGACCAAGATACCAACATGGACGAAGTGCCCACCACCATCCATGCTGCCAAGCTAACTGCAGCAGCAGCAACCAGGAGAGCCGCTCGAGACCAAGCCAGTCAGCTCTTGGCCACATGTGATGCGCCCACCCAGCGAACCCTGGGGATGGCGGCCGAGAAAGGAGCGTCCAACTGGCTCACTTGCCGGCCCCTGAAGCAGTTCGGGTTTGTCCTCCACAAAGGCGCCTTCAGAGACGCACTCTGTCTGCGGTTCGGCTGGATCCCTCCCCGCCTGCCATCCACTTGTGTGTGTGGCAAGGCATTTAACACCAGCCATGCTCTTTCGTGCCCAACTGGTGGATACCCGGCTCTCCGCCATAACACGATCCGCGACCTGACAGCCGACCTACTGCGTGAAGTGGCAACGGATGTGAAGATAGAACCTCCTCTGCAGCCCCTGGAGGGTGAAAGGCTCCGGTATCGCTCTGCCATCTTGGAAGATGGTGCTCGTCTTGATGTGGCGGCATCTGGTGTCTGGGGAAGTCGTTTTGAGCGCACGTTCTGTGATGTTCGGGTTTTTAACCCTCATGCGCGCTCGAACACTTCCTCAACTCCCGCGTCCACCTATGCCAAACACGAACAGCAGAAGAGAAGGGCCTACGAAGAACGCGTCAGGTAAATGGAGCATGCTTCCTTTCTCCCACTGGTATTCAGTGCATCTGGTGGGTGCGGCAAGGTAGCCCACGCTTTCCTGAAGCGTCTTGGCCATATGGTTTCGGAGAAGCGGCATGAACCCTACTCCTCCGTCATGTCCTGGATCCGCTCTCTTGTCTCCTTTGCTTTGGTTCGATCCTGCAACATGAGCCTCCGTGGTCACCGTGCTTCTCCCTACCGCAGTCGTTTGGATGCTGCCACTCCTGTTGTGCTGGCAGTCAACGACTGTCAGTTGCGTGACTGAGACTCTTGCGGAGT